CACACACACACACACACACACGTTCTTCTTCTGAAATTATGAAAGGTACTCAGAGTAAATAAGAACTTGTTTAATAAATCATAGAAGATAGATCTATAGTGGGATTAAGACAAGCTAGTAGTTTTGATGTATTTTCTCTCTCCTTGTTGATGTGATAAGGTCCATACTACCACCCAATAAAAAATGCCCTAGCTTTATTGTAGCATTCAGAATTCACCGTTGGAAACCAAAATACATAATTTAATCAGTATTGTATCTCTTGTATTATAAAATATAAGAAATGTATATGGACATTATGTATCTTATTCAGTCTTTTATATTTTAAAGTGTGTTTTCTCTTTCAAACAGTGCCTGAGGTGCTAGGCGCCATTATTACCCATTGCCCTAAGTTTATTACTCATAAACAAAGCTATCTCCTTCAGGATATTTACTAAATAGTCAAAATTCAAAGGTCTAAAATTTAGTGTATGTCTACTTGTCCCCAATCCCATGCATGTTCTACATCAAAGACAATGTTGCCATTGAGAAAATGTTTTGATTGATTTTGGAAATTTTAAAAATGTATTCTGAATATAATTTCTATTTCAGAGGAAACGTCACTATTGGAGATTGGATAGCAAATGTATTACTCTCTTTCAAAATGACACAGGAAGCAGGTACTATAAGGTAAGGATGTCTTTTGAGTAACCAGTTAAGTCTCTTCCCTGCTTTCTCCTTGGAATATGAAATATCAAGAACACAAAATACGTAGCAAGAGACATAACTGGGGTTTTTTGTGTTTTCTTTGTGATATATAATTTTTTCTATTATGTGGTATAAAGTTCTGAAGCATCAAGTTGAAATTCATGGTTCATCTGTGAATTTTACATTCCTAGGGATGATGGAGGGTAAAGGAAGCTCAATTGAACATTTTAGTGAGAGATGTGTGATTTAACTGGAAAATTTGAGGTCACTAAAGATTAGCCAAAACCAAATTCCTGAGATCCACTGTATGCTGCGTTTCCTTGTGTCTTTGGCCTTGCAGTGCATCTCTAGTACAAAGAAACACTTTATGAATTTTCCATGCATGTATGGTCTGCATTAATCTCCAAAAGGAAGATTTCCCTCTACAGAACAATTTGGCACCAGTTTTCATTGGTTTTCACCCTTAAATCACAGAGGTGTGGTTCAATGAAGAGGAAAATGCAACCCTAAAGAAGTTCAGAGTGAAAACAGTAGACAATTCTGTTTTCATCATTTATCAGTCAGATATAGTTGATATAATTCCCCATGGCCACATTATATAACTCTAACTACAGACAGAACCATTAATTTTTAACTTCAGGTTTTTATTTTTTCAAATTACTTTCTTAATAACTTCATGATTGAGGACAACGAAGCAGTTGCTTAATTTGTCTCTCTTAATTTCAAAATGGCTTTATAAACAACTAATTTTAAAACCAGTCTCTATGGTGTTCCTCGCTAAATCTACTCTGCTATATTATAATATAACTTGCATATATTCACTGATTTCAATGCCTTAAAAAGCAGTTCAACTTAAAAACAGCAATACACAACCAAGACAGTATTCTATTCACAGTTACACAGATTACCATTTAGATACAACTTCTTGGGTTTAAGTCAAGATTCAAATTTATTGCTGTCAACCATATTTATTCCTATCCGGTCAACATCATGAAAATGTCACTTACCATTTCTATAAATAGACTATGTTAAGGTTTTCCTATGTAAAAGAATCTTTGAATCTTTGAAAGTAATGCTGTGTGTCATAAATTCATTCCTAGGAATCATGGCTATTTGTAATGCCATGCCTTGCATGTTCCTCGCGTTAATTTTATTTGAAGGTTTAAGCACTTTGTAAAACTGCATTTGGCACACTTATTCTTCCATAGGAAATTCCTTTATCAGAAATTTTATCTCTGGAACCAGCAAAAACTGCAGCTTCAAATCTTGATGGGGCCAATCCTCATTGTTTTGAAATCACCACAGCGAATGTAGTATATTATGTGGGAGAAAATGTGGTCAATCCTGCCAGCCCACCCCCAAATAATAGTGTCCTCACCAGTGGCGTTGGTTCAGATGTGGCCAGGATGTGGGAGATGGCCATCCAGCATGCCCTGATGCCTGTCATCCCCAAGGGACCGTCTGTGGGATCAGGAACCAACTTGCACAGTAAGCCAGTCAGCTGTCTAACTGTACCATGAAACTCACTCCTCTTCCTACCCTGATTCTCTATGTCTTTCCCAAAGAGAAAACTAACTTCTGATGAATGATTTTGTTTACTTGAGATCATAGTGCTTCTAAATATAAGTTTTCACATATTATATATTTTTTTCATTTAAAAATATTTAAAGATTTTATTAGGGGCTCTTACAGCTCATATAACAATCCATATATCAATTGCATCAAGCATATTTGTACATTTGTTTCCATCATTATTTTCTAGACATTTACTTTTTATTGAGCCCTTGGTATCAGCTCGTCTTTTATCCCTCCCTCCCCACCCCCTCTCCAACCCACCCTCATGACTCCTTGATAAATTATAAATTATTATTATTTTCATATCTTACACTGACTGCTGTCTCCCTTCTCCATCAGTTTCTGTTGTTCATCCCCCTGGAAGGGGGTGGTGGTGGTTATGTATCAATCATCGAGATTGATTCACCCTCCTTCCCTCCTCTCCCCACCTTCTCCCTGTCCTTCTGGTATCTCTACTCCCATTCCTGTACTTGGATTCCTGTGTCATGGGCTCTTATCTCTTAGCTGTCCCTATCCACATGCTCCAGGGGACGTGATAGTGGGGATAAGGAAGCCTCATGGAATCAAAGAAGTGTCCTGTGTTTCCTTGGTGCTTTTTGGCACCCTGATTGACTCGTCCTTTCCCTGTGACCCCTCTGTGAGGGGATGTCCCATTGTTAACAGATGGGCTTTGGGTCTTTGTCCCGACCCCCCTCTTTCTCAACAATATTGTTTTTCCTTTGTTTGTTTTGGGTCTTCTGATGCCTGTTACCTGGTGCTGGTGACACCTCCTGATTGAACAGAATGGTGTGCTTCTTCCATGGGAGCTTGTTGCTTCCCTGTTAGATGGCCACTTGTTTTAACGTCAAGCCTTTAAAACCCCAGATGCTATCTTTTGATAGCCAGGCACCATCTGCTTTTTTCCACCACATTTATATAAGACATGCATGGGAAGCAAGCTTGAGGAGAAAGCAACAGGTTCGATGGTCCCGAGGGGACTGTGGGGAGAAGGAAGCAGGGAAGGGAGTGGTGAGAAAATACTAGGGAATTAAAATCAACAACAAGGAGGAGTTAGAGATCCTGGAGGTGTTGGAGCAGCAGTAATCTAACTGAGAGGAATTACTAAGAGGCAGAGAAGTAGGGTGAGCATGATGGCAGGGCAGAAGGTAAAAAGAAACAAATGATCTAAGAAGCAACGCTATGGATAGACGTATAAGCATAGGTGTGTCCATATGAAAATACATTAATGCATAAAAATAGAGGTATTGGTCTATGTACATATATTTATATTGCGATACACTGAGGTAGAGGATGGACTTCAGAACTCTGTTCATGCCCTCCCTCAATGCAAGAACACTTTGTTCTATGAAGATGGCATTCTGTGATGCTCACCTTCCCGGCAAAATCGCTGAAGACAAAATGGGTACATGAGCAAACTATTAGGAAATTTTATTCCTCAAAAGATTAAGTTTTCTTTTTATCTTATATTAGCATTTAACAAATTGATGTAAACACTGTATATTAGACAATTTCAGAATCCTATCACTAGTGATCATAAAATAAAGAAACAATCTAGTCAATTTAAGAGTATCCTAAACTTAGTATAGGTTCGTTTATTTGCAAACTGAAATCACCGACCACTGTATTTTGTGCCAAGTAATTGGTGTACTTGTGAACAGAGTGTACATGGACACGCTGTATAATTTACATCAGGGAAAAAAGCCATCTCTTTTCAGTAGCAGTATGTGAGAGATTTTGCTAAAATTCAAAAACCAAGTATTCAGGTTGATTTTAAAATGAAAATTTGGGGTGGGGAATTATCTATTTAAAAGTATGATTGTAAATTACATTATGAAGTCTAGGAATTAACCTTTGCTTTTTCCTTTATAGTGCTTATCTAGTTATCTATCATTGCTTTTCTTATTTATTTATCTCTAAAAATAAACATATGTGCTAATATAATAGGTATGCCCATTTTGGTGCTAAGCAATTGACATGAAATTTCTTCTTTACTTCTAAAATGACCCCAACAGGCAGATATTGATGGTTTCCTTGTTCGATAGCTGAAGAAACCAAGCTAAGGTTAAACTATCTAAGTTCATTATCATCTCTAAGAAGGGCAAGAACCAATAGCGAGAGTCAGGTCTTTCTAACTTCAAACAATATGCTTAGCTGTTCAAATGTTTTCTTGAACCAAGAACATAGCCACTCTTTCATCTTAAAAGGAAAGAAATATTCTAATAGATATTTTCCTTAAAAAGAGACTAACTGAAAACCTAATTTTGGGGTTTGTTTCAAATCAGCCCTGCAGCATGGCGGAAGGGGGTGTGTGTTTACTTACCTTGCGGTCACCTCTCCTCCTAACGGCTTCTTTGTGTGTTGTTTGTCGCCCTGTACTTCAGGAGACATTGCTGTGAGTATTTCAGTATCGAATTGCCAGATTCAAGAAAACGTGGTGAGTATATACCCACTAATATAAATTTGGGAGCATAATTTTCCTGAGATAAGAACACTATAAAACAGATTTTTTATTTAGGTAGCATTATACTTTTTTCCAGACAATAAAATGGGATGGGATTGGATTTTTTCCCCCCCATCAGAATCTAGAAGCATTACAGGACAGAGATTCTTTTTACTGGTTTTGCTATAACCTGTTCTGCTGTGTCAGGCCAACTATCTATTGTTCATCTCAGCTATAACGTAGAACCTGATTTTCCACATATTTGCCCAGCTTGGTACTGGGACTTTAATTACTATCATCTAATACCTCATAAAATAATTCCTCAATTGGCATGAGGAACTCAAACATGCAGTTGTTTTCATTAGTTGATTGCTGCCTAGCAGTGCTCTCATATGGCAACAAAACAAAACAAACTCGCTGTCGGCACGAGAATCCAGGCTCATGGGGACCCTATAGGAGAGAGCAGAAGTGCTCCTTGGGGTTCCGAGAATTGGCTGGTTGGTTTGAGCAGCTGACTTTGCTGTTAGCAGCCCAGCATGTAACCCACTATGGCATCAGGGGATTTCAAATACCGTTTTCAACTAAGCATTTCAAGGCACCTGCAAGGAGCCTGAGTAGATCAGACTTTATGTGCTCCGATTCTAGCACCTCCGTCACCTTGCCATGTCATTCCACCCATTGAGCTCAGTTTTGGAGAAATAGAGATGAAATGTTATGGGATGTTTACCTTCTACAGTGTGTCTATTTGTTACACTCTGTTCCGTTAGCAAGTAGCCAAAACACATTCAGGCCTTTTCCACCACTCCTTGTGATCTACACTTATCGTGCTGTGTCGCCTGCAATACTTATGACCAACAGACGCCGTCTACTGCCTTACTGAACATTGATCTGAATTTATCTTTTCAAGCATAAACTCCATGAAACTACGCATCACAAATATAGTTTTACAACCTTTGCTAGATTGGCTTAAAGAAACATGAAGCCAGAATGAATTAGAGAGAATTAGGTAAGTTTCATAGAGAAGATTAGATGAATGGATGTGCTATCAATTATAAGATAAATTCCTAAACAGCTGCAGATGTGTGATGCTCTTTCTTAGCTTTAAAGAGATATTGGGGAATATCCTAAATGCTTCTTGGGAAATTCTCTGGAGAAAGAGGAAGCCATCTGCTAACCATTCTACCCATGAAGGTCAAAGTGGCTGGAATCAGGACACCCATCGTCATGTGATCAAGAACCATGATTATTTAAGCAGAAACTTCTAAATTTGGATGGCCATCCAAACATGAAAATCTCACTGAGTATTTACAGTCAATGCCATGTAGTTGTGAGTCTTAGTTCTCTCCACTGAAATACATTTGAGGGACCACTTATAACCCCTGTCGTGGAAAGACCTGAGGGCACCTCAAGGCCTGACAGTGATCCATTAATAAGGACCGGGCGTTGGATATTTTGACACATGAGTCAGAGTTGCCTTGATGGCAGTGATGTTGGTTTCATTGGGTACTGTAAATGTCGCCTAGAATTTAAAATTCAGATTACTTCATTTTTACAAACAACATTACATTCAATGCATCAATGAAATACGAATATCATCCCACCTCATGCTGTTTTTCTTTGGACTTACATTTATAGGACATCAGTACAGTATATCAAATATTTCCCGATGAAGTACTTGGTTCTGGGCAGTTTGGAATTGTTTATGGAGGTATGTCAATTGATACAATATTTTTTTTCAACCACATACTTGACTTAGAATAATGGAACCAAGAAATAGATTCTTTATGGATATGAGTCACTGCTCTTTAGGAATTTATTCAGTAAAACTTCTTTATTCATATAATTCTTATAAATGCCCTTGTTAATTTGTATTTCCTTTAAGAAAGATAATGTTCAATAACAGTGTGCTAATGTCTCCCTTTTTATTTTAAAGGAAAACATCGTAAAACAGGAAGAGATGTAGCTATTAAAATCATTGACAAATTAAGATTTCCAACAAAACAAGAAAGCCAGCTTCGGAACGAGGTTGCGATTCTGCAGGTACTTCTTTGGCTCTCCTTGGAGGCTGTGAAACCCTTACAAGGTCGCCAAAGGGAAAAGGTATCCCAAAGTCTGTACCCTAGCTATGCAAGAACCCTTCAATAAAACGGTAAAGAGAAGTCACACATCAGACTATTGTCTGGGTAATATTCTTTCAGCTATAAGCAGGAGTTGTCCTTTACTCTGCCTTAATGTTAGGTTTTGATATATTAGTAATACTCATTAAATCAGTAATATGTTTAAGCATTTGCCCGTGGTGAACATGCGGAGATCATTTTGTTTGACATGATATGTGACCTTGCCTTGATAAACATTTCTCCTTTATCCTGTGATAAGTCTACGAATGGGGCAAGTGTCAGCAAATCAGGTAAATATATCTGAAACATCTGAGAATCAACTCATCCCGGTTTTATTTAATATCCTCTTTGTCTCTCGTTGTAAGCTTTTCATTTAATTTTGAGCATGACACTTGCCTCCTTTAATTGAAAGAATATTCCCCTTTTAACTAACAAGGTTTCATAAGTAAAAGGTATTACATAGTTATATAATCTGTCACTTTTAATTCTTTTTCTTCATACCAAAGAGGAATTGAGTAAATTTTTTTGCTAAATGTAGCCAACAAGCCATCCAGTCTCAAAAATTTAGACCATGGATAAATGCCCATTTGTATATAACTATCATAATTCTCCTCTTGTCATGAAAGCTGATCATAATAGTTTTAGTGAACAATTTTCCTTTGAACCTCTAGTGAATCAAAAAACATTACACTTCTTGATTTATTCTTTCATTCAACTTCCATTTATTGAGTTTCCAACCTCCATGCACGATGTTGGAAACAATCTACTTTTGGCTTTGCAGGAGCTTATGTATACAGATAGCTAAAAATAAAAGAATAAATGTGTACGTGTAGCCTACTGTATAAAGAAAATAAAGTGTGACTTTCTTGGGGTTCAGAATATCTAAAGATGAGGTGTCCGTGTGCATTGTGGCCAGTAAGTAACATAGAGCCAACACCGTGTTCTCCGGCTTTCAGGGTCAAGAGAACTTTAGCTCTGAAGATGCTGATTCCAGGTTTACTGTTGGTCAGTGACCAAATACATCATGCAATTTTTCTTAACAACACTGTCATATGAAAACTTAATCACTGATATATCCCAAGCCACGTCTCCTGTTTTTCCTTTCTCCACCCACAGGTGGCTTTCTGAAAGCCAATTCTTTTGCAACATGGTAGCCTGCAGAGAAAGGATCCCTGAGCACAGTGATTAAGTACTCACCCACTGACCAAAAGATAGCAGTTCAAACCCACCAGCTGTGTCCCATAGGGGAAAGATGGAGCAGTCTGCTTCCATAAAGATTTTAGCCTGGGAAACCCTATGAGTTCTATTGTGCCCTGTGGTGTTGCAATCAGTTGACAACAATGGGTTTAGATCATCTCCAGGGTTAGCATATGTACCAGAACCTTTACCCTTCCTCACAGGAGACAGGAGGGGCAGTTTCATGGTTAACCTGGCTATACCTATCTACAGAAGACTAATTAGATATTGAGGGTCTAATTTTCTATTTCTAGTTCTTTTAATTGGCTCGCCTGAACCTGTTAATATATTATCAGCTGCTGACTCTGGTGTGAGGTAGAACAATAAAGAACATTTTACATTAAACTGCCCCCATCTCATCCACTAAAATCTTAGGTGCAACCTATAGGTCTGTTTTATTATTTAATCACAGTGTAGTTTTCTTTAAAATTATTTATGCATAAATAATTTGTTTTTGCATAAAGTATGCATAAATTTCTGTGTGCATAAATTGTGCATAAAGTAAAAATATGTCCACCATGCATATGAGAAAGTCGAACTTTCTCACATTATGGTTCAGAAGTCAGAAATCGTCACCTTTTGTCACCCACCCTCTCGGCTCCCTTCATCATACTGTTATGTATTTTGTATCATGAACCAGCTTCTAGAGTTAGGCAACAAAGCACATCTTTGCGGTTACATGTTTTTCCTTCAGCTATATTTGGGGGGTGAGTGTTTGCATCACATTCTTTGTGTTAAAATTTTAATTATAAAGTGAAATTTTCAGTCACATAGAGGCTTTTTAATGTCTGATGTGATTATATGCAGATATCAAGTGCAGGAACTTTATCATAAAATTGCCAATTAATTCACATATCATTGTGGTCAAGTACATCCCACTCATTGCAACCCTATAAGATAGCCTAGAACTGCCCCTATGGGTTTTCAGGACCATAACTCTTTATGGGAGTAGATAGCCCCATCTTTTTCTCAAATGCAAATATGTTAAATCAAAAACCGGTCCATCAAGTAAAAATAAACCCAAATCATGTTTGAGCCGTTAAAAAAAATCATTGTGATATAGCAACGATGAAACATACAACTTTCCTCTAGTTCCTAAATGCTTCCTGTCCCCACCCCCTTCCCCACTATCATGATCCCAATTCTACCTTAGAAATCTGGCTAGACCAGAGGATGTATACTGGTACAGATAGGAACTGGAAACACAGGGAATCCAGGGCGGATGATCCCTTCAGGACCAGTGGTGTGATTGGCAATACTGGGCGGGTGGAGGGAGGGTGGGTTGGAAAGGGGAAACCGATTACAAGGATCTACATGTGACCTCCTCCCTGGGGGATGGATAACAGAAAAGTGGGTGAAGGGAGATGTCAGACAGGGCAAGATATGACAAAATAATAATTTATAAATTATCAAGGGTTCATGAGGGAGGGGGGAGCGAGGAGGGAGGGGACAAATGAGGCGCTGATGCCAGGGTCTTAGGTAGCGAGCAAATGTTTTGAGAATGATGAGGACAATGAATGTACAAATGTGCTTTACACAATTGATGCATGTATGGATTGTGATAAGAATTATATGAGCCCCTAATAAAACGATTTAAAAAGGGGGGGGATCATTGATAGTTATATATTGTGTTCGAATATAACGTCCCCTGAGGAAGATTAAAATCTGTATCTGTGAACAGGGAAGCCCATGCTTCTCTCTCTGAAGTGTTTGCTCAAATAGCTTCATCTGTGAGTATAAGCACTGTTTGATTCCTTTTTTAAAATAGCAGCTCACACAAACCTATTTCTGCAGCCTGTCCCGATGTTCATGGATTCCCCTTATCCTGATCTGTTTTCCTTTTCTCATATTACTTATCACTTTCCAAACTATGATATAAATTTATTTAGTATACGTGTTATTTGCTTCTCTCTCAGCACTACCATGCCCAGTTCCTGCCACTGGACTAAAAGGAAGAAGAGGGCAGATTGAATTCATTTACTAAAGTCCACAATCGCCGAAACGGTCCTAGCCCACATTACCAAAAAGCCCCCAAAACTAGCCTGTTGCCATTGAGTCGAGTCTGACTCATCATGATTCCATAGGACAGAGCACAACGGCCTGGTAGGAATGCAAGGCCTTGATGGAAACAGACGGCCACATTTTTCTCCTGTGGCGTGACTGGTTGGTTCAAACCACTGGCCTTTGGGAGCAGCCTAGTGCTTAACCACTGTGCCACCAGGACCTCTTTGGTATCATTAGATGCATAGTAAACATTTGTGGACCAAGTTCATTAAAAATGAGTGGACACCAGGGACTCAAGTGGAAAGTGGTGTCGTAAGAACGATGAAGTCAACATATGTACTAAAGTGCTGGACACAGATGACGTATGTACAGATTGTGATGAGTTGTATAAGCCCCTAATAAAATGATTACTTAATTTAAAAAAAAGAACAATAAAAAAATGTACAGAAATAATACTATCAGGTAGGAGGACTCACATAGTCCAATCAGGTTCAGAAAGCTCAACTTAAGGGAGAATTAATTAGCTAGTTTCTTACTTAAAAAAGAGATCATATCTCTTATTATCTTGGTGAAAGCCCTTGTCACCTCATATACTCAGCTTTTCAGAGTGAGAGGCAGTGTGGTAGTAGAAAGGGGGTCAGGAGAACATACGTGTCCCTCCGACTCGGCTGTGCTCAGAGTCAGTATCTTGGTCACAGTTCTCCATCACGCACTGCCATGGAGGCAGTGCTGACGCAGAGAAACCCAGTGGGTTCTGAGACAGCACCTGCTTCCTGAACTACAGGGACCAGTCTTTCTGCTATGGTTCAAAGTTAGTTCAAGAATCATTTAAGTTAGTGGAATGGTGAAAATGATTTTTTAAATTAATCATTTTATTAGGAAGCCTCTTACAGATCTTATAAAAGAAAATAATTTTTTGTTTGCAAATCTCGAGGGACAAAATTCGGCCGTCTGGATATGAAAGTGGATCCTAGAAGCATTTGGAATGTTCTGTTTTATGGTCCCCTCGTGTATGGAAGCCAGTGCCCTAGTTCCTGGTGGCATCTGAAAGTCAACAGCATGCGCCGGGGCCCCTCCTTGTTCTGCAGAAGAGAGCTGTGTGAGTGAAGTGGCTGATTGGAGAATGTTCTGTGCACACAGCTCTGGCAAATGTTCATTTGTTTCTGTTTGAGTGAAAGGGAGCCGTAGTGGGTTACAAGCTGTGCTCTTGACCACAAGCCACTCCATGGCAGAAAGGCGCTTTCTAAATATTTACTGTCTCAGAAATCCATGAGGGCAGTTCTTTTCTGTCCTATGGACAGAAGTGAAGACTTGCAACTGCTGTAAATACAGAAGGGGAGAGGAGGGAATGCTTGTACTTTCTCTTCCATCTTCTTAGCAAGTGTGGCTCTTATGTTCTAAATCACCAGTCACTCTGAGGGGGAAAGATGAGGCTTTCTACTCCCATAAGAGTTGCAGTCTTGGGAACCCACAGGGACAGTTCCCCCTGTCCTGTAGGGTGGCTATGCGTCAACGCAAAACTCAATGGCAGTGAATCTGTTGTTGTTTGGAGTGGGGTGTGTTTGCGTGTGTGTGTGCGCGCACTGTTCTCTTGGGGAGAGTCCACTCTCTCCCTTTTGCTGTACCACATGCTACATTTTTCTTTCTTTGTCATTCATTGCCTCTTTGATTTCTATACACATT